TGGCACCGACAGTGAAGAGGAAATTACTGAAATCCCCAGAAATGGCGGAGGACAACACAGTGAGGGGGTTGTAGGCCCCACCCTTGGTAGATTTGGCCAAGAATGCAAAGAAGAACATGTTGACAATGGAGATTCCATACCTTAAAATTTCACCCTTCAAATCATGGGAGCCATAACCCAATATTTTAAACACAAAAATCTTGATGAGCACACTGGACCAAACCCACATGAAAGACATCAACAAATCCGACACCAGCAGCCGCCTCCCTCCTACGGCCGCCATGGTTGGTCCTGGGTGCTCTCCTCTCTCTATCTCACACACTTGAATCTGAAAGGAGCTATTGGCTGGAAATCTCCGAGTTCTACTTTTCATGTACACCCCATGTTTGTCGGGTTTTGTCCCGTTGACTTGAAAAAACTTGCCTTCCTATTGAGTGGCTTGGCTTCCTCTGCAGGTTACTATTAAAATTGACCCGATCAAAGTGTATATTTCCATTTTTTGACTTTTCAATTTATTTATATTTTCACAATGGCATATTTAATAGTAAAGGAAAAAAACGTCATTAAGTATATAAAATATTGTTTTGTTTAAAAAACAATAGTAGGTTAACAAATAAAATCAAACACTTCTTGCGTAAAATTTTAAAATGAAGTAATTTTTGTTATCTGTTTATTTCAATACAGATAAAAACTCTCTCATCTTTCATCTGTTTCAACCTTAAAATCTAAAAAATTTAACAAACGCTGAAGTTTTAATTTTTTTTATATTAATCACTCCGAATCGGTAAGTATATTTACGTATGTTTAATTTCGTTTTCGTTAAATTAGTATACGTTTTAATCGTTAAATTTATTTCGTCATAGATAGTTAATGTAGATAAATTTTTTTTTAACAGTTCTATAATTTTTTTAAATATGAACGAGAAAAAAAATTTGTCTACATCTTTCAGACGAAATGGATCTGATGAGAAACAGTAGGAGAACTGTTTAAACAATTGGCCGACTATTTAAACAGCTGGCTGAAACAGTCGGTTGTTTTGGCTGCTGTTAACAACCGGCAAAACAGCCGGCTGCCAGCTGTTAACAACCGACTGTTTTGACTGTTTCACTTTTTTTTTTTAATTCTTGTTAAAAGTCTAATTTTCAACTATGTTTTTTTTTTAAAAAATTTCGTTTTAGCTATTTCGCCTTTTTTTAAAAAAAATTCCTCTTAAAAGCCGAAATTTCTACTATACATTTTCTTTAAAAAGTTATATTTCTTCTTGCAGACAGGGGCGGAGCGGGGGGGGTCCTGGGGAGGACTCGGACCCCCCCTAATTTTTTGACAATTTTTTTTAGTTTAAAATTTTATTTTTTTGTATTTACCATTTTATCCTTAAATGAATAAAAAACTTAAACCCTACCAATCTCAAAACTTAAACTCGAAATGAACGCTTGTAATAAGGTATGATTTTGCTAAATTAAAGATTAGCACTTTCTTTTATACGTTTTTTGATTTTTTTGTTAATAATATATATTAATTTGTATTAATTGTTTCTTTTCTCTATCATAAAGTACCAACTTCCCTCATTTCAACAGATAATATTTCAAAAAAAAATTTGGGGGCAGTGATCCCCGTGGGCCCCCCACCCCTTAAACTCTAAGACCCTTCTACTTCGACGGGTTGGCTCAGCCCATGCTTACAGATATGATTGTAATGTTAATTTGTTACTTTGGTGGCTTCAAATTGGATGAGAAAGATCAATGGGTATGGAGATGGCCAAGCGATAAACATGGTGGTATTCCAATTTCCATAACGGAGAGTACAACATATGCAGGAATGTACCTTGATTTACAAAACAAGCTGAATGTCGACCCCTCTCAATACGATATGGAATTGAGATTTCGATTCAAGGATGATTCATTTATTCCGATTCCACCTATGAAGGTTACTTGTGATGAAGAAGTGAATTATCTATTTGAATTGAATAAAATGTACACGACTTCTCTTTGTGTGACTTTAGTGAGGAATGATGTCACCGAAGTTGAACACCAATATTAGGATGGAGGGAATCACAATGCTAATAATTTTTGGGACATAGTGGAGATAGCTCGTGAGGATGATGTTGACTATTCTCGAGCCAGTTGTTCTTCATCATGACGTCACTATTACACACAGAATTCTATCGGTATTTCATGACAGCGAGATTGACAGTGAATTTACAAATGAGGATTTGATTGCTTTATCTCGTCAAGACATAAGTTGGGTAGGAGCGCAGAAGCTGGAACGAGTGGACCGTCATCTAATTCTTCGCGTTTAGTTCCCGATAATGAGGATTTGTATGTTGATCAATTATTTGAAACAAAGAAAGATTTGCAAGAAGCTGCGCATCGAATTGCACTGAAATACAACTTTGAGTTCAAAATTAAGAAATCAAACAAGTCATTGTTGAAGATTGTCTGGGTCGACGAAATTTGCCGTTGGAGTTTGTGAGCGACAAAAATGAACACGAACGAGTTCTTTGTAGTTCGCAAGTATACACGGGAATATACTAGCCAAATGGGAGTTCGTCGAAATGATCGTAGGCAAGCTCGAACATGGTTTATTGGTCGACAGATAATGCACAAGTATTAAGACCCACAGATGATCTACAGACCTCCGGACATCATTGACGACATCCGTCAAGATTACGGAATGGTCATGAGCTACCAAACTCCGGAAGGCCAAAGAATGTGCGTTGGAGGTTTTAATGAACTCGGTTGAAGAGAGCTATGCTAAATTGGTCTGATTTTGCCATAACATGGGAACAACTAATCATGGCCCTTTTTTATTGAGACAGAGGGCGAGAATTGCTTGCAATTTTTCTTCATGGCTCTTGGACAAAGCATTCGGGGATTTCAAAATGCGATGCGACCCCTAATTCTAGTCGAGGTACAACTCTGAAAGCTAGATATAAAGGCAAGTTAATTATTGCTACATGTCAAGATGCTAAATCCAAATTTACCCTTTTCCATTCGGTATAGTCGATAGCGAGAATGATCTATTGATGCGTTGGTTCTTCACAAAGTTGAGGGATATAATCGAAAAAGTCGAGGATCTTGCCTTTGTAACTGATCGGGGACATTTATGATAAATGGTATAGCCGAAATATTTCCTGAGGCACATCATGGATATTGCATGTACCTTAAGACTAAGTTTCGAGGCACATGCATCGTTTTATTGTTCAGAAGAGCGGCCGAAACTTATAGTGTTGAAGAGTGTAATAAGTTTATGGTGAAAATAGGAAGCAAATCGTTACCAGCATGGGAGTATCTAACAAATATGGGGATTGAAACTGGGCGCGATTACATGTATTTACAAATATGGCATACATGGGAGACTTTTCCATGTGAGCATGTAGTTGCGGTGGCTATGTATAAAGGCTTTGTAGCGAGGACATTATGCTCTTTTATTACACGACTGATTTTTGGATAGCAGCTTATGTTCAGACTATATTTCCTCTGCCAAATGAAGCCGAGTGGGAAGTTCCCGACTATATTCTCCCACTTAATAGTTTGTTGCCACCGCAAGTGTACCGTGTAGTCCTGAACGTTCATGTACGTTTAGAATACCATATACCGAAGAGTTTTCTCAATCGCGTAGGTGCGGCAGGTGTGGAGCAACAAGACACATTCGTCAATTTTGTACAAGTCAAATTCCCCTAAATGACAATTAGACCGATGTGTAATGGTATCACTGTGAAATGAAGGACCAAACTATACAAAATATAGTTGAGGGACCTAGAGCGCAAATGTTTGATAAATGAATAAACAATTAAATATACAATATATACATAAGTTTACAATATTTATAAGTATATGATAAATGAATAAATTAAGGGTCTGTTTGGTACAGATTCTCATTTTCTACAGTAAATCAATTCTCATTTTCAACCACACATTCTTCAATAAAATAATATTTTCCATCACATCAATACTTTTTTCTTCTTTTTCAACCACACATTTCCCATCATATCACTATTCAAAAATCAATTCTTCCCCCAAAAATCCCTATCAAACACACTCTAAATATACAATTTTACATGAGTTTTACAATATTTACAATTATCTAATAAATGAATAAACAATTAAATATAAAATGTTTACATGAATTTTACAATATTTACAATTATTTCATAAGTAAATATACAATGTTTACGGATCACACTTGAATTGTTACAAATCGTACGCTAATTTATTCCTCCAAATTTGTATCCACGATTGGTTGATTCAATCAACTTTATGTCCTATACTAAAAAATTCAATGTATTTTATTGCAAACATGTCGCAATCACTCGTGCAATTGAATAATAACGTGTTAGTTCGGTACTGTGTAGCTAAAAACTAAGTTTCTAAGTTAAAAAAATTATAAATACTTACGATCTCGACTGTCTCGCCATTGTCGTGTTCCACACGATGGTTAGTCAGTACTTCACAATCACACCGGCTCGGGCAGCCATCAATGGAACGATAACTGAAAGTGGCTCCAAGTTATACTCGAGTTGGCCTTGTGTCAGACAGAAATGATCGGAGTCGTACACATATATAGTGAAGTCAGCGAAGACAATCTCCACGACAATGCAGTGATGATATATATATATATGCGTACAATCCTCCCATGGCTTTTCCCCGACACTCGAACACATCCCTACGACCCACTCGACCATATATTCGTGCAGCACATACTTATTACCCATATGTTGAAGTGACTGATGCTTAATAGTAACCGCACGTACGAACTCAGTGATCAATATGAGTCGGTCAAGTACATCGGTAAACATCAATAAAAAAATAGAGCGAGTTATTTCATTTTATAAATAAAAAATTATTTATACATAATAAATAACTATATGACTATTTCACTTACATCGTCGGCGAACCAAGTCCCCAAGTGGTGATGTCATAAACCACATATAGGCATCCGAGATCGTCTTCCCCCTACCGTGCGGCTATCTTTGAAAAAAGAAATAGAAAAAATGTTAAAAAAAGTATAGATGAGTTACCGTAGCCTACTTCACTGAAATTGTAAAATACTTACCCCGGAATAATTCTTCTCCACTCCATGTCAAACGATTTCTATTTTGCATGGTCCACCTCTCGGAAGAGATTGGGGTACGTCTAGTCGATGAACGTCCTCCTCTTCACCTCAGCCGTGATTCGTGAAGGGAAATACGACGTACTGTGACGGCAATCTCATTCTCTTGTCGACCACCTGATCCGGCATGTCAACAACACACATTTTACCCTTTCTCAAGACCTGCATCCT